GCGAGAAGTCGGATGTGGTACCTGAGATCAGCGAAGTAGTCGATTTCTCCGCCACCGTAGACCACCCTCTTGAAGTCCGCCCGAGCTAGGTAATTGAGTGGGTTCAGGTCAGGGGACATACTTCAATATTACATCTTCCTCAGATGCGAAACGCCCTTCCATTCGAAGTAAGGCGGGAGTTTTTCCAAAACCCTTTGATTCCATGTGGTGGCACCCAAACCTGTAGCAGCACAAGGTCTCCAAGAAGGTACGGGCGACCACATGTAGGAGGTATATTCCTTCTCGCGTTTAGTTTGATGTAACCGGCAGCGTCTCGACCTTCATTCGGGGCTACAAAGGAAAATACGTCTTTTCCCGTTTCCTAGGTAACGCGTCATACCATCAACTCGCGCCTCGGCGAACACGGTGAAGATGATGTCCTAGACCGTAGCGAAGTTGAGGAAGCTGCTCGATGTGGGAGGTCTTGCAGATCAAGAGTACTGACCTCCAGGTAGCTATCTGTGGATGATTTCATTCAAGAAGTTTCGCAGCTGTTTGTGAGACGCACGTGATTCCAAAAGGTGTTCTCAGACAGTCAGGCCGCGACTGTAGATGACTTCATATTTGGCGTACATGAAGGCGATTGGCGGCAGCCTGCTCCAGCTTATAGAGGAAGATCTTGGGTATCTTCCACTCTGGTACTCATATCCACTTCCCCTGTCTGGGCTGCGAAAACTTCGTTGATATGTGACTTGGTCAAAGTGACTTTTTTTTTTGGCCACCCCTGTATATCACTATGGGCAGATAGTCTGATTGGAGATGAGCCCCCTGACAAATTAGGAGTTGGAAGGGTTTGGTGGCGTAGTAGGTTAGGTTGTGAGAGGGGGATTGTTTTGAATGAGAAAAACGCTTAGAGGTTAGTTTGGCAATAAAGGGAAAAATTTGGGGGGGGGGTAGTCCGTACTGCTCCGTCGTCCTCCATCGCAATGCTTTGCTGCGCTCCGGAAGGTGACGCCGCTGCCAATGCTGCCTTTATGTCTCCGTGTTGCAGTTGTGGGAAATAAGGCCTCCCAACTACTTTTAAATATCTGGCTCTCATGGAAGAAAAAGATCACTTACACTTTTCGCATGCTCTCACTCATCACTCATGACCACAATGCAGTCGCGAATCTGGATGCCAGGCGATGTCAGACGGTATCAGACTCCATCATTGCATGCATGGGTGCAACTCACATGGATCTGGAAGGAACTCGCTTTTTCCAGCTCTTGTTCGGAACGTGTCAAGTGTGTCGCTACATTGTTCTTTGCTTACGTTGGGAACGTAAGGGACCTGTTTGGCGCGGTGCTAGCCGTTTTGCACCAATTCTTGTCGCTTGTCCGCTTCAGCAATTGATGAAAAACGGGCTCGAAACGCGTGCCAGATCTATCCTTCCTGACACATCCCAACATCCTCAGCGAGCAAGACTGAACAGCATGTCCAAACTATCTGGTGTGCAAACGAAAACGCGAAAAATCTGATTGAAAAGGAGGTATAGAAATAAGAAGACCGCAATGAAAAATTAGAAAAGTGGATGGAACTATCGCAGCAGTGCTCGATGGGTCCGGTCCATTAAACGCTCCAAAGAAACTGGGAAATCAGGTTGGAGAAAAGAGATATTTCCGAACTTTCTGAGCAAGATAGTCGCGAGGGAGTGATGATGCGATGCTAATCTCCGGACAAATGTCTCTCATCGCTTCGCGACCGCACGCGGCTGGCTGTGGCAAACTTGGAAGTCTTCGTGGATAGCGAAACAATGCAAAACGTGAACCTATAGAAAGCTGGAATAGCCAGGGAAGCTGGACAACGGATCTCTTGCAAATCCTGCTGCGCGACCCGCGCATCTAACTGTGGCATACTAGAGAACGATTGAGGCTAACAGGGTGAAGACTTTCCAGTCATCAAGTTGAGAATAACTGCAAAAGCCTCTACAGGAACCATACTCACTGTAACAACAATGAATAGATTGGCAGAAATAGTAGGAACCACTCATGGACGTTCACAGCCATAACCCCTGCAAACGGTAGGGCGTGTTAAGGGGCGTTGGATCGCAGTCAGGAAAGTCCATCAAGCCGATTGTTGCGGACTAGGGACGAGATCATGGATGGAAAGGCCGCCTTGGCAGCGATCGCTGTCAACCACGCTTCATTGTTTGCAGGGATCATAAGTGTGATTCATAGCCGAGTTACAGAAACTCACTTCGACAAATTCCGTTTTCATCCTCAACATCGATGTCATTACGGCAGACACAGTTGGTAGCGCATACCCTATCCTGCTTCACACACTTTTTTCCATTAGGACAAATCACACCTTTACAGATATCTGGAAAGGGTACACAATGTATAAAATAAAAGAGTAATAGCATAAAAAAGGGCCACCAGAACGGTGGCCCAGTAAGTGGGTCAGAAGTGATTCACCCAGCCGGAACTCTTTCCACTCACTAACTGTAAGCTCAGGCACAAATCAGGGCACGACATCGCTGGGAGTAGTTCATCGGAACCGCAAATGGTCTGCCCCTTTCTTACCACTCATTGGAAGCCTCAAGCCACAACGATCGATGAGGAACGAGCTCCAAAACCTACTCGTCGTTGACACGCACCCACGGATTTCAGTGATAACGACTGTATACAGTCCAGTACAGTACGCGGTGGATCTACTCACCACAAATCTCTGTAGTATTCTCATAGTAACAATATTCCGTGTCTCCGGCATTACCACATTTCCTATCATGCAGTGAAGTCTCAGGAGATGCAGTACTCGACCCTACAAAATGACCTTTGGGTATTTGACGCTGAACTAATGAATCATCATTTCCTAATGTCATTAACTAAGTAAGAGCTGCACTGACCGTTCTCGGCCGGCGGTCGCACCAACGAATCACTGAAAATAGTCGAAAAATTCAGCAAGTGACTCAAATATTAATAAGTAATAAATAAAAGGGTGCAGTTTGTTTTGGCGGGTGCATCATGTGGTAGTTAACGAAGTTTGCACAGATCACCCTGTGAAGTCTGCAAATTCCTGTGACCGAAGTGCCCCTTGGTCGTCTAGTTACCCTATGCGCGAAGATACGAATACGATCTTCATGAGAAACGGATTGGTTTCTGATGCCCCATTCACGCTCAACGGAACGACCATCTCTGAATGCTCTAGCTATGTGTACCTAGGTCGTGAAATCAATATGATGAACGACTTATACTCCTCATCATTACGGACTGTCGGGGCGGGTCAGTGCGGCTGCGTTTTCCGCGGTTCCAAAGTCTTTCTGCACCAGTTGTTGAAGCGATCAAATGACATAACAGCATTATATCCTTCGTATTACTCGTTTTCTACCACTTTTTGTCGCATACGCGTTTCAAAGAAAAGGCTGAGAACGGCTTCAAACAGTGTGCGCACTCCTTCTGGCTGATACGCCCCGACAGTCCGTAATGATGAGGAGTGTACATAGCAACAGGAAAGAGCTGAGCAGGAGGAAGCGAGCGGCTTGGGGAGCCTTCAAGAACATCGAGGGAGTAGCGAAGAAGACGAAGAACACCAAGCTCCGTGCCCACCTCTTCGATTCCGCGGTCCTTCCTGCCTTGACGTACGCCTAAGGCTGCGTTTATACTTTGCGGCAGCGTAGCGTAGCGTAGCGCAGCGTAGCGTAGCGCTTCCAGCGTACGCCAGCGGCAGTGCCGAAGAGAGGATGCATATCGATCTAGCTTCACCAGCGTCACCAGCGGCACGCTGGCGTACGCTAGCGGCACGCTAGCGTACGCCAGCGTTTCTCCAGCGTTTCACCAGCGTTTTGCTAGCGTTTGCAGCGGCAGGGGAGTAGAGACTATGGGAGAGCTGGAGGGTACAAAACACATCGATTGCGCGCGTCTCCCACTCGCCCTTAGTCTCTACAATGCACATCGCTTCTGCGTCTCCGACGGCCCCATAGTCTCTACGATGCACATTGCTTCTGCGTCTCCGACGCCACATAGTCTCTACAATGCACATCGCTTCTGCGTCTCCGACGGCCACATGGTCTCTACAATACACGTCGATTCCGCGTCTCTCACGGCCACATAGTCTCTACTCCCCTGCCGCTGCAAGCGCTAGCAAAACGCTGGTGAAACGCTGGAGAAACGCTGGCGTACGCTAGCGTACGCCAGCTGGCTGACGCTGGTGAAGCTAGATCGATATGCATCCTCTCTTCGGCACTGCCGCTGGCGTACGCTGGAAGCGCTACGCTACGCTGCCGCAAAGTATAAACGCAGCCTAAGAGACTTGGACTCTGGGAAGCAGGATGAGCATGCGGTTGGCGTTATTCAACGCGCCATCGAAAGGGCGATGCTCGGAGTTTCCCGCTACACGCAAGTGAGAGAGGGAATCCGGAGCTCCGCACTCCGCCGACGATCGAAGATCAGAGACGCCGCCGCTTTTGCCAAGGTTTCGAAGATCAGGTGGGCCGGGCACGTCATGCGTTTCGAGGACGACCGCTGGACCAGAGCGATCACCGACTGGATTCCACGGGATGTCAAGCGAACGCCTGGACGACCGCCTATGGTCAGACTTCTTCGTGAAAGCTCTGAACGAATGGTATGAAGTTCATCGTGTCCCTCGAGCAGAGAGAGTTCATTGGGCAACTCTTGCACGTTGCAGGGACGAATGGAGACGTTACTGGCGCCCGCTCGAGGAACTCGATGATCAACGGGAGCACAGGTGATAAAGGTGATACCCTATGTGCCCTAACAAATTCAGTGCCGCTGGCTTCAAAAGAGTGATGACTCAATATCTCGACATCTTTAAGGACCCATCTTGGACATCCCATAAATACACTGGACGTTAGGGTGTGGGTGGCTACAGGCATGATTATCCTCACACCTACATTAAAAATAAAGACCTGTAAGAGCTAAGTCCAAGTCAGTTAATAGAATGAATAGAAATACAAATTTTACTTCGGTCACCTGTCGTTGTACTATTTGACGAATCTGGAGGAGGTGGAGAGGTCTGGATGGTCTGGGTTGTAGAACCTAAAAGACATTGTTATGCTCTCAAACAGTCCGAAGAAGCATGACTTAAAAAAACACAAAAAATAAATGAAATCAAAAGTCTGTCCTTAAGTGGATAAGCTTTGAAGTATGATACCGTACCTGTTCCACTAGTATTATTCTGTGCACTTGTCTCTAAAGAAGACATTATCATTTTTGAGCAATATACACAGAGTTTTAAGAAAACTATTTTTTACTTCATTTCTAATAACGAGTATTGTAAATTCAATTTTTTCCTACACCCTACACTACATTTCCTTCCTTTTTTTCTAACACCTCAACAAAACTCGCCAGAAAACGATGCAAGTTGGCTAAGCAGCTAAGGCAGCATTCATACTTTGCGACGAAGCGCATCCACGCGCCGCAACGCGCTACCGTTGCAACCCCTGTAGACGGGAACGCGTCCATAGACGAGTATCGATCGGCGCCGACCGGTACTATTTAACTTGAGGTATGGAAGAATAGGAGATCACGCATTGCCCATTCACTCAGTTCCAGACAGTCGACGCGCTTTCGAAAGAAGTTTGAACGCTGTCTCGGACAATAATCGTCTGAACGTCACCTGTCTTGAGAGGAGATGATGCGGAGAGGGGAGGGGGGGGGGGGGGAGGAGCGCGATTGGGGCATTTTTGTGCAGGAACTAGCTTGATGCCTATAATGCGAATATGGAAGTGTTCTGTGACGCGTAAAACCACTGATAGGGGGCGGGGGGATGAGATTAGGGGGAATGAGACTGCGCCTCAGCGCCTAGCCAGGGTTGGGTTCCAGCTTAGAGCGCAGACGGTCAGAGTTGTGTAGAGACTGCCTGATGCGCGAGAGTAGCATATCGCCCACACCAGGCCGAACCACACCCACAACTAGCATGAATTCAGCAGTTCAGGAAGACCACGACTATACTCATTCACTGCTGAGCGTCAAAGAGGTTATTCTACAGCAATTTAGAAAGTTTTTGCGCTGTTCTTGCAACAGGCACTCCGCATCGTAGATACCCGGGTGTAGGCTAGGACCTCACGAGAGGGGTCACGGCCTGCCATGCTCTCACGCTTCGCCGTGGCCGCGCGGCGATTCTTGGCAGGCCTATTTTTACTTCGCCAATAATGGTCGTGCGATTGAGATCCCGGTCCCTTCACATAGTTCTGGCATCACGCAAATCTGCTTGGGATTTTGCCAAACCAGAATTTTTAATGGGACGACAGTATTTTGGACAATGGCGAGCTGTGTTATTCGACGAGGACTGGCTGTAGTTCCGTCAACACTGGCCTACTTTTACCGCTCTTGTGGCTCGTACTTGAACCGTTTTCGATGACCTTACAATGTAAGATTGAAATAGAAAGAGTTCACCTGAGAAAGAATTTTGGAAGATTGCGCTTGATTGTATTCTCTAAAGATATGGTATTTCATATGTGAATGGAGCAGTCTGTCTGGTTAGGAGTGCCTATCAGTGAACGAGTCCGGGGCCTACTCCTCGTTATGGAGTTTTCCCAGGCCGTGCCCAGAGTAAATAAAGAGACTGGTTGGAGGGATCTCTCATGGGACTATGCAAAATTGGAGACAAAAAATACATAGGCGATAGCATCGCGGGGCGCGGCCACTGCTCGGTCGGCGCCGGCGGGCGGGGCGCGCAGCGTCGACCTCTCGGGGGGTAGTCGCGAACGTTCCCCATGCTAGAAGCCCCTGTTCCGGAGTAAGGCGTGAACGGCCGGTCGTATCTGCAACCAGAGTCCTGACCGCAGCTTATCAGCACTCCCACAATAGTACGGATCCAGTTGAGCCGAGAAAAAAAAACCCAGGACGGAGAGGTACAGGGAGAGGGATTCAGTGGTTAGAGCGCAGAAATCCACTACTGACATTTGATCTTACAGTTTATATCACCGACACCAGTCAGGTCGCAATCAGCGGTCGCCACCTGCGGCCTTCCAGCCACTGGTTGTTTCTTTCCAAAATGATCACTACTCGATCGCCATTGGTAGAGCAAGGCAGCCGCATGCCGCGCTGCGCTCGCCGCCTCCGACTCCTTGCAAGGATATAAACTATGATTCAGTGGCAAAAGGCGGCCTGGTGGGAGCACTGAATGGTAATCAGCTAGGCTTCTGCAGGCCACCATGTATAGACCTGTAAATTCCCGTGACCGGAGTAGCTCACTAGAACAGTTTCGCACCTTCACAAGAGTTTACAGGTCTCTTAGTGAAGTGTTTAATACCCCCTCTAAGCCGAATAGCGCCCCGACGAAGTAATGCGTACGCTATTGTCCCTTTATTCTAGCAAAAATTATTCAGGTGGACCAAAGGATTCCACGGTCGACTTTCGTGTAATTTTGGCACGAGTGATCAATACGAATAGTCTTTAATGAGCCTTCCAAGATTAACAACGTAAGCCGAGTAAAACCGTACCAAGTTTGGAAGACTCAATGAAAACTATTCGTCGAGACTGAAGATCAAGAGAAAAAAGCGAAAAGCAAAGATTCCTTACCTATTATGAGAGATATGAAAATGAGAAGCATAGAATAGTGTGGAGGTAGCCGTCGATGTCGCATTGTTGTTGGGTTTTTTCTCGTTCTCGTTCGTTCTTCACTCCTTCGGTCAATCAGGCAGTCAGTCGGTCAGTGAGTCTCGGACGTTGCGTGTACCCAGAGTATCGACAAGCTCAAAAACGATCCAATATCTGAATAATGGCAACGACGGAGCGCATTGTGCATGTGCGTTGTTGTTCGTAACAGCGGCCAACACCACAACGTAATGTGTTATAGTCAGATCGACAAGTAAACCTCGTAAAAGTTTAAGCAAACCACAACACCGTGGCTATTTATAGGCCTTTCAGGCTCGTCTTGAACAACCTACCGAGTTCGTACAACATAATTGCACGAACTCATTTGAAAGACTCTTTATAGGAAGAGAGATCACATAAAATTAAACTATTACTAATCAATTATATATGACACATAATTAGAGACCGCGAGACAGTGTTGTCTTGGGGGGGAGGAGGCAAGTGGTTGGGGAGGATTTTTTATACTTTCTCTGCTTCGTCAATCGTAATGCTCTAAGGACATTAAGGTAGAGACCTGTAAGGCATGTTGTGAAAGCCCATTCAGTAGTGAGTACTGTTCAAAGTTCTGTGTAGATCGCTTGCCAACTTTGCCAAAAACATCTGTCAATTTTTGTAGAACAATGAATACAACGATGGGAATTAACGACAGTGCAAAATGCTCCCTCCCCCCCCCCGCCAACCCTGAACTGCGGAGCAGCTTCCTTTTTTTAGACAGCTTGGCCGCTAGGTAAAGCTCTTAGAAACAACCGCTCAAAAATTCACGTAGGAGTATTTGGAGGGGAAAGAAGAGCGCCGCATATGATAAAGAAAATGTAAAAGAGGGAGAGGATAAGAAGATTGTGGGTTGCTATGTAGGTCGTCAATTCCTGATCAATACGTTGCAATACTTTTAGAACAGGAATATTCGAAAGTAGTCTACAAAGGTCTTGAGAAGCCCAGTAGGAAGGGACACTTCCGTAAGGTATACGACACCGGGAATCACTCCCGCGATGAGCTCCCGACCGTTCCAAACAAGCCACCTCTACGATGATGCTACTTGGAATCAGACTGGTTTGCAGAAATAGGAATACAGCATATATCACCTATATCACCGTATAAAACAAACACCATTCAAGATGTCTTTACGATTCTAAACAGAAGAAGCAGGCATGGCGTATTCCAGAAAGGATTGATCGAAGAAGGAAGCTTCACCATTTTTTGTTATGCATTATTTCGTATGGAGATAGCTTGGTCTCCCCAGCCGGGAGTTTTGTGAACCTGGCATTTTGCCAGCCACAAATCAGTGTGAAATTGCCTTCGGAAGGGAATGATCGGCAATCGGCATCAGCTCTGCATAAACAACTCTTAAGTATCTAATATAGGATTAGCTGAATTCCTCTCCCTCCGCTCCCCCTAAGCCAAGGTGTCTGAACAGGATCTGGCAGGTGTTGATAATGTAATCTCCATATGCATGCCCTGAATCCCTTTATTTAGTTACCATATGACGCTTTCACATGTGACTTTCTAAGCAGTTTATACGGGGGCTAGCTCACGTTCCAGCGGACGATCCCAAGAAATGTTTGCTAATCGATTAAAAAGCAAGAGAGTAAGAAACCCGTAACTGCGATGGCTGGACAATTCGTAATTCCCTAACAATAGCTGTTTTTGTCTCTCATAACATTCAACGCGTGGCGCCCCTGTCGCTCCACCAGATAATCAAAATTGAGCTCTTTCAAAGCTATACAATTCTATAGATCTCGAGAGAGCTTGTCGAAAACTTTGTCCGTGGGTGTCGCGCCAGTGACAAGACATTAACCAACATCGATCGGAACCTTTCAGACGCAGCCAATTTGCTTTTTCAGCGTCCTAATCAAACAGACCAAACACTTCTTTTGAATGCCTCGTAATGAGAATAACGTCATCCTCCTAATCAGGGCACTACGTATCACTACAGACGAGGTAACAGTAGATCTTTCAAGATTTTGGGTCGTAATATCTTCACGATGCCAGAATCCCTTGCATGATCAGGATGAGGAAGTGGCGCACCTAGAGGCATGTCCAATGTCGGGGGACAGCGCTAATTTTTGATTTTCTATGGGCAAAATAGGACATAAGGTCCTGTTTTGGGGATAGGGGATATAGGGCCAGAATTGGACTTGGAACTTTCATCGTTCAACCTATCGTGTTTTTCGACCCCAAAAACAGCCGTAGTCATCCTAACTTCAGGAATGTTGCCCTCTGAACTCAGGAACTTTAGTGAGGAAAAGTGGGAGGTTTGTTCAGCTCTCACTGTTTACTTTTCGCTGCCATGCTGTAAATAATACCACCGGCATGTGAGAAATCATCGATTCAGACTGAGAAAGTTAGAAAATGAACATGGAATCCGATGAATGGCTAACACAATGCTTCACGCTGGACAAGCACACATTAAGGCGGGTTTTTTGTCGTTTTAGACAAGTCTGATAGCAATTGCCCGAAGCCGGAGAAATGGAAAGGTTAGTTTTTCCTAGGGACAAGTTCCGACTTCATATAGGCGCCTCTTTTAGTCATAGCAATTCTCTTTCTATATATACGGGGGGGGGGGCAAAAAAGACACTTCGGCCGAGTCACATATCAGTAAAGTTTACGCAG